TCTCTACTGGGACATGTCTCCATGCCTCAATGTTTAAAAAGCTCTTTATTTTTCTCATACTGCCTGTGCTGCAGCACCTCTTTTCACCCTCTGTCTGAAACCAGAGCCCAGTCTGCTCTGATTGGTTAGCTGGCCGACTCTGTCGTGATTCGTCACACACTACAGGAAAGGGCAGACAAAGCATTGAAGGAGGGCCCTCTTTATCTGAAAGGTGGGGTAGGTAATTTTGGAGAAACCAGCTCGAGTGCGCTAGAATTTGAAAATACACAGCCGGAAAGAGTCCTCCAACACACAGGAACGTGCACATGACCAATGAGGGCACGAGATAAGTTTGTGCACAGATGGAAGGCTGACAGGCAGGTAGGCCATCCAGTTATTTGAGCCGGGCCGGCTCAGATGATTGGTCGTGCTTTTTACAGCGCCACGGCTTCCACAGATGAAATTGTTTTATGTATTTATTGTCAAAGCATTTAATATATTCATTGCTATCGGGATGTTAAGAGCATTCCATGGAATATAACAAAAAGTATTCAAAGACAGTAAACCAAAGCATCTCTTATGTTTACATTACATGTATGTGAATTGTGAACACATTTTAAGCATTTGTCTGAAGTTTTTGCATTGCAAAATATCTTTATAGAGATGAATTTGCTGTATACTTTAAAGACGGTATAAATTATACTTCAATAATAATAATAATAATAATGATCAATTATAAAATGAACACAAAGTTGAAACCACATTATGTCCTTCCAGGCGTAATAAACAATGCAGTAAATAAGTCTAACCACCAGGTGTCCCCATTTTATTAGACTGTAGGCTACTGGCCAGTTATCCTAATAAATCAATGGTGCATCAGAAAGGATACAAAGATAACTTTTACACCATTATTCATGTTTATTAGTCCATGAGGTTGTTATGTAAAACTATTTTAGCTTACATAACATAATTGTAAAACTATTTTAGCTTACATAACAGGGTTAAACAATAATCACAAAGAAGAGCTAGACAAATATAGTCATTATAGTTTACAGTAAAAACTATCCTGTCTTAAGCCGAAGTGATTGACAAGTAATTTGACCGCCTTGCAGGGGTAACCAAAGTCACATGGATTTATCCTAAAGGCGTCAAATGTCTGTTTCAGTTTCAAGACATATTTCACTCAATGTATTGACCAACACATATATTTTGTAATGTGTCGTTTACATGATAGCTGCTTGTGTCTTGTGCCCTCCTCGAGCATTTTTGTACATTTTCCCTGACTTTCTTTTATTTATTTGGTCATAATTTCAGCAGTGTTACAGCTTTTGGCATGGATTTTTGCAAGAAGTCTTCTTTTGAGTCCCATTTTTGAAATCCAATGTCGTGTACTCCTACATGTTTTGTATACTCTCGTGATGCATTTTGCACCCTCCGGACGCCTTCGTGGCAAAAATGTACACGCCCCAAAAAACTGCTATTAAATCATCATACATCAATATTTCTTTTTACTATTTATTTTTCCATTAATCACTTAAACAACTTCTAAAGTGCTCAAAACTACCAGACATTCAATAATTTTCAGGATTTTAACCCTTTAAATGCTTTCATTATTTGAATTATTTCATTTATCTTTAAAAAAAATATTATACTAATAATACTAATAATATAATAATTAGTAGGCGGATGGAACTTTGGTGCTTATTAGAGTCTTGGATGTGTCAAAGATTAGCAACAAAATTGATTTGACTGCATTATTATTTTTTACGCAGTATCAGATACTACCTCTGGACAACTTCGTGGCAAAAATGCACACGCCCCAAACAACTGCTATTAAATCACCATACATCAATATATATTTTTTCATGAATCAACTTCTAACGTACTCAAAACTACCAAACATTCAATCATTGTCAGGATTTTAACCCTTTAAATGCCTGTTTTTTAATTATTTAAATTATTTAATTTCTCTCAAAAATGCCCCGAATCAAGGAAAGAAGGAGGGAGGGTCTACGCGACAAAAGGCTGTCCCCCTTGGCCCTGCGACGAGGCCTTCGTTTGCGAGGAGACACTATTGCCACTATTGGGGGAATTTGACGGACTAAGACGGATTACATTACAATAAAGAACATATGTCACCACGTTGACGTTAAAATGAAGCATCGGATATTGTATCTTTCCCATGTAATATCGAAAACTCCTGTAAACGGTACAAAATATAAAAGAGATACGAAACCTCCAAAAAAGGGTTATTTTGTGTAAAATTTGTAACTAGATTATACACCTATACCACTAAATTTACCATCAGTATGTTTGAAAATAATAAAGGTTACGTGCGGTATTTTTTTTTTTTTTTTGTTTTTTTTTTTTTTTTATTTTTTTTTTTTTTTTTTTTTTTTTTACATTGTCCTGGTCATGAGTCTACCCCCCCACCCGCCCACAATATAATATAATATTTGTTATAATCGGGCTTTTCCGGATCGTCTATCCAATCCTTTAGTTTTTGTTACTCAGATGAAGATTGGATTTGGTCCAATATACGTTTAGTCTATCCGATTACCGACAAAAGACCGTTAGTTCTATGTTACCTGTGGTCATATACAAACAAAAACAACAAAATTTATATATCTTTTTATTTGGCAATATGTAATTAAACATTCTAACAATGGCTGGGTTAAAGAGGGAGATCATTATTAATAACTCGTTGACTGAAAGACAGACGACATAACAACTATCCAAATACTTATTGTTTAGTTGGCAGTATACTCGGTTTGGTGGTGTATACCGCTTACAAACTTTCGTAAGGCAAAAATGTCGATAAAATTAAGTAACCTGGTTTCCTATTATTTTATCGCAATCAGACTGTTTCCTATAAACGTGAATGTGTGACAATAACAACACACAACAGCACACAAAAGAGTTTGCCTCAACGAAACAATCTAGTCGTAACTATTTTTGATCGTTTCTTTCTTTTTGTCTTGGCCTACCGTTCCGGATCCTTATTATAAGTTATTACGTACGACACTGTCGAACCGTAACACGTGACGTATGCGTAACTAACGAACATTTATTTATCTCACTATCTTCGTCACAACAAGACGGAAGGAATGACTTTTGTCCTACGTACTTAACTTGTGAAAATATCGTCACTTCGTCAACATAAATGCAGGTAAGATCTCCAAAGTATATTTTACCCGCGTTAAAATTACATATAAACTCGTCGACAAGCTCTCAGTAAATTTCAACGTGAAATATCGTTTTACTAACCTTCTTCACCACGGAACTTCCATCTTTTTCCCTAATTTGGTTTAGTACTTTCGGCGCTCGCTAACGAAGCTTTCTCTTTACCGTTGGAAATATGGAATATTATTAAACATTACTTACCGGATTCACGTTTTGGTGTTCATTAAGAAAAAATTTGCAAACACCCTTGACGTCCCGGCGTCTCAAGTTATTACACCGTTCCCCACCTGTCAATTGGGAACACACGGGAGCGGAGCCTCTAACAAGCTAGCAACCGCGACACACACCACCCCGTTTTTTACCATCG